CCTAGGACCTAGGACTAAGTTCATGTTTCCCCCACTATCTCCCTCTTTTTTTTTTTTTTTTAAGATTTTATTTATTTATCTGAGAAAGAGAAAGAATGAGAGAGACAGAGAGCATGAGAGGGAGGAGGGGCAGAGGAAGACACAGACTCCCTGCTGAGCAGGGAGCGGGATATGGGACTTGGATCCTGGGACTCCAGGATCATGACCTGAGCCCAAGGCAGATGCTTAACCAACTTAGCCACCCAGGCAGACCACCACCTCCCTCTTTTAACATAGTTTTTTTGTTTTGTTTTTTTTCCTTGAAACTCCTTGAAGGTTGAAACCATAGTTCATAGTTGCATTGTACCTAATGAATTAGCATAAACTGCTTCACGCACGTAAGAATCATATATTATAGTCTAAAACTCTGTCATGAATATAAAAAAGAAATATAACATCCATGAATTGTTCTAAGCATTATACGGCTATCCCCAATTATAATATTATGGTATTAATGTACCCACCAATTTAAAATATCAAATATATAGTAATACATTCTAAGATTCTTGGTGGCAGTTATGTCACATTCCCTATCTCTGCTCATAGTTCAAAATGTGATTATCTATTTAGAAACAAAATATTTTTCCTCACTTGCAATCTTAAATGGCTATGTCAAGCCAGAATTCCCCTCGCTGCAGGTTGGTTTGAAATTCCAAGCACACATTAGATTCGGCTATCGCAGATACTGAAAAGAAACTTCATTAGTCAAAAATCAAACACTACTCTATTTGCATATCTAAGAAAAAGTTCAATTTTCAGAACTTAAAATTTTAAGTCAAGAAAAAAAGCAATATGAAAATATAACCTCACAAAATCTACACTACTTTTATTACCGTGCGAAGACTTTTTGATTCCCAATTCTGCCGCATAAGACAATGACCTTTAAATAATCAGAACAAAGTTTCTCATTGCTCAGAGAGCATTGTTTTAAGATTTGCTTGTTACTTTAAGTTAACCATCTTACAGCTTTGAAGCACAAAGGGATAGTCAATGACACATCCATTTTAAGCTACCATGACCTGTCATTACAGAGTCATTAAACAGTATTTTCAAGGAGTAAGCAGAAAGCTTTGTAACTTTCAAATATATTAAGACTAATCTCTGTATTTCATAAGCTATTTGGATATTGAAAGCTATACTTCATAAATTATAAAACCCACTGATAATTTTCTGCATTCTTCCTAAAGATAAATAATATGAATTATTATGAATATGTTAATATGAATTAACATATTGTATATATGTGTTTTTATACAGACACTATAATTTCTAAGCTGGCTAGCTTAAGATATACAGAAAAAAAGGGTGCCTGGGTGGCTCAGTCGGTTAAGCAGCTGCCTTCAGCTCAGGTCATGATCCCGGAGTCCTGGGATAGAGCACCACAACAGGCTCCTTGCTCAGCAGGGAGGATGCTTCTCCCCTACCTGCCACTCCCCCTGCTTGTGCTTGTTCTCTCTTTCTCTGTCAAATAAATAAATAAAATCTTTAAAAAAAAAAGTATACAGAAAAAATACTTCTGTCAGAAAAAATTATCTTTATGATAAATAATTTTCAAATATTAACATGTTTTGCACAAATGCATTTAAAGTAAAATATATTCTCTGTATTATATATTCTTTTACCTAACTGTAAACTTTTATTAAGAAACCAATTTCAAAAATTCTATAAACTGATTATCCAATTCAAATCTATACAACTCTAACTCTGATCAGGTCCTGTGTTGACAAGAGCACTATTAACCGTTCCCACGCAGCTCTCCAGGGAAGGTATGTTACAAAGCACAAAATGCAGCAACAGAAAGAAAGCACACACAGCTCTGGTACTACACACTTCATATTCATCTGTGGTTATCTATACAAAGTTTAAAATAGTTGGCACCATAGGAAAGCTAAGCATCTTTCCATATTTCCCGTATCATGTCTTCTTGGCCCTTGAGTTCATCATTTTGCAGACTACTACAAATTCCCAAAATATTATAAAATCCAGAGAAATTTAAAAATGGGATGGAATTCAGAAGTTGCCATTTCCAGCCAGCCTAATTTAAAGGCATGAAGACTGAGCTCCAAGGTCTTTAAGAAGGTCAAGATACAGCGAACTGCTGCAACTTACCCCCACTTCAATCCTTTTTCACCTTACCACCACCAGAGATACAATGATCAATATCAAAGTATTATACAGGGGCGCCTGGGTGGCTCAGTGGGTTAAAGCCTCTGCCTTTGGCTCAGGTCATGATCTCAGGGTCCTAGGATCGAGCCCTGCACCGGGCTCTCTGCTCAGCAGGGAGCCTGCTTCCTCCCCTCTCTCTCTGCCTGCCTCTCTGCCTACTTGTAATCTCTGTCAAATAAATAAATAAAATCTTAAAAAAAAAAAAGTATTATACAGAAATAGTTTTTGGCAGTGTGCCATTTTGAACCACCACCACCATTTGTTCAGAAGAGAAATAATCTGAGAGTTATATGTACCTTTGGGCACAAAAGTAGAAACTCAAGTTCTTTAGGCCCTTCTTCTTGCTAAGGGAACCTCCTAGGAACACCAGATTAGGAATAGCAGGAGGGTCAACATGTCTTTTATCGATCTATCTTCTCTCCTTCCGTGAGAACAAAATCTACCCTATTCCCTGTATCACATCCTTTCTTATAATTTGATCAATAACCTCCTTTCTTCATCTAAGAAAGAACCAACAATGAGAAATACATCCACCAACATTAATCACTTGCCTACTTCAGACTTCTATCCTTTCTTCTCTGAACACTGTAAATATAGTTCCTGTTCCTGCGGTTTCTCATCTTGCTATCTTTGCAGCCTATAAGTTCCAAAGGCATGTTTCTGTTGTTTTATTATGTGGTGTGACAATGGAAATAGTAATTCTTCTGACTACTTTCACGTTTAAGATGAGATTCAGACATGGCAATATGCAAAAGCTTTTGGTAAGCTGCAAAGTTTAAGACAAAAGTAGTGCCCCTATCATATGAGAATGAAAAAGCATCCTTAATTGCTCATATACAAGTAAGCAAAAAATTTCTAGGAAATTATGGCCCACATTAGTGATTTAACTAATCTTAAAAGAAATTAGTCTGATACACCCAAAAAGAAAAAAAAGTAGCACCTCCCATTCAGCAAATCATGTATTTGTCAATAATCATTTTACTGCAAGAAGTTTAATGAGTGATATATTTCTCTATCATACTCAATCTTACAACAAATTTTACTTTCATAATATAAATTATTACTATTTTCAGACACAATTATTGGCTGACTATTAATATCACGATTAAAACCCAGTAATTTAAAACTGTCATCAGAATTAAAGTAAAATTATTATAGCTTTTGTAATATTGTCCTCATTTTCCTGAGAAACTTACTTGGGCATGACACTCAGAAGATTCTAATTTGTTTAAGTCAACATAAAAGAAAAATCTAATCAAAATGGCTAGTGGAACAAAATTCAGGCTTTCAAAAGGCTCAGTTCTGAAATAAAATTTTCAGCCCACACAGAATAACATTTTGTACTACTGAATAAATGTTCATCTAAGAATGTACACACATTCACAGGAATTAAAATATTGCTGAGAATTACAGTGTTACTCCTATTCTTAGAAGATTAACTAGCCTTAATGTATAGTAAAACTACTGGATAAAAATAAATGAACTCTATCAAAAAAAATTTTTTTCAGAAATATCAAGACTACCTTCAAAAAAATGCCCTTTTCCTGACAATACAACTTCACTTTAATACAGAATGAAAATAGACACTAGGAAAATACCTGATGACGCTGCACTTTACTTATGCCTTTATTTTTTAGGCCATCTAATAATGTACAGCACAATCTCCAAATTAAAGATGTAACTGAAAATTATCCAGAGAAGAACCACATCATGAAATCCTCCATGCCTGGATCTTACTTCTGCCTTCTTTCTATATCCAAATGCAATCATTCCTAATACCTATAAATAGCCCTTGACATTTTACATAAATATCATTCTGAAAAATTTTAAAACCATACAGGTAATTATAATTTAATGGAATTGTGGTGTGATCTTAAAAATATCACTTAGTAAAATACTTTATTGGGCCCAATGAAATAAAGGTGGCTTTAGCTAGGTATCTGTTATTATTAATAAACTATGGACATCTCAACCAAATCTTTTATTTAAGCATTCTTTTCAAGCTTCAGTTCCTTAAAATTAAATAAAAAATTTTAAAACAAGCTCTTAAGTTAATAGTTTCTAATTTAAAATGAAGATAAAACCACTTTTATTTTCCCCTTGGGAGGTAAAAAATTTTCCTGCATACTGTTGACCTCAAGCATTGTATTTGTCTCCAGGTACCACTAAGTGAATCCGAAACAGAAATTAATTCAATGTTCTTTAGAATTAAAAGTCAGGACTGACTGGTCATCTCTCCTTTGTAAGCTCTAGTGAAAGCCTTTTATTCAATCACAACCAACCATAAAACATCCGTATTTTAAAGACTTAGACATATTTAAATAAACTAAGGCAAATTACAATGCTCCAACAGATGTTTGTGAAATAATTAGTATTTATTTGTTGGTTTTTACTTTCAGCTCTGTCATTGTTCATCCAACTGTAACCTAGCTTCACATTACTTTTGCTTCTTATTAACAGTTGTGGTTAAAATATACATGAACAGAATTCACTTTAAAAGAAAAAAAATATGGTAACATGCTGAAGACAAAATACTGTAATACCCTATCACCGAGGACCAAACATGTAATTGTGACCATCAATGATCTAATTTCCAAATGCATGTATGTCCAGGCAAATAACATAAGAAAACTATGAGTGTTATCTTTCCTCTCAAAATTATGACACTATATAAAGTCAGTATTATTTGATAGACCTTAAAAAATTATGAGCATATCTAGAGATACAACTATTCAACTGAAGATTAATTACAACATTCAAATTAGCAAGGAAAAAATCAAAATTAAAAAACTCACTTTATATAGTATCTTGCACCTTCAAAAGTATATGCTTCTTCCCAGCCAGTAGGCAAATCTAAAAAACATACATTTTACAGTTAGTATTACTTCAATGGGATAGCAAAATAAGTTTCAATCCATTTTACTTATTCATTTCCATCATCAGCTATTTCCATTTATTATGTAAATTTCTAAAAAAAAATGTTGAACTGGTAACAAAACTCATAGTGAACAAAATATCACTTTTGGAAAAATGGAGATTCAAATTAAAAGCCACCAGAAAAGAATGAACAATATTAGAGATTATCTTACATGATTATATACTTTAATGATCAGTGAAAAGGAACTACTACTCTCTAGCATCCCAAAAAAGCAAGGGAAGCCTTCTAATCCTAGGTAAAATACTCATGATGGCTGGCCAAAAAAAAAAAAAAAAAAAAAAAACCCACCAAACCCTGCATTAAAGGCAACACCTGCTTCTTCTTAGGTATAAGTGTGTTTATTTAAGACCATACATTTCAGCTACATAAATGAATCCATCCAGGAAGTGTCACTGATGAGAAAGAACTTCCTAAGTATTCAATTAGGGGAAAAGAGTTCTGACATCACATACTCTATACATGTATGTTTCTACAGATTAGGCTAAAATGTGTGAAGTTACAGGTGAATGATGATCATTGTATATGCTATACATTGCAAATGACAAATGGCTTCGATTTAAACATAATATCTGAAATGAAAACCAGTGACGTGTGTATAAAACCACAAAGTCAAAAGCATACCAAACCAGGAGGAAAAAAAAAAAAACAACACGATAATCATGTCTTAAAAATTAATGTGAAATCAAAAAAAGAATAAAATTTCTCTGTAGTGTGAATGTTCTCAATTCTGTGGGGGTAAACAGGATACAAATTCATATCACACATAACCAAAATAAGCATGAAATAATTCCACAAGATGATTAGGCTAAATAATTTAAATACCATATTGTCCTTTGCGAAGTAAGTTTATTATCCATAAGGCAAAAAGGCCACGAGAGTTGAAATATATATGCAAAACACTGAAAGGTGCATATTGAAGTCAAAGACTGCGGAGGGGAGTTAAGAAATATGACAGTGTATTAGTCAGAAATGTCTTAAAAACCTCACCATGCTTGCTTTCCCTTTCCTCCTCCACCTTTTTGCAAATTTGGAAATTAGTCACTTCAGTGAACTCCAGAATTTAATCGAGAAGGCAGGCTTGTTCCATATCCTGGCCCCTCTAAGAGAGTCCCAGAATCTCAGAGTTGGAGAGAAAGTATCCCAGAGGGCAGCTCTGAAGGACTGCTGAAGCCAGCCTGCCCTCCGACCCGAACAGTTCTCGAGCCTCTCCCAGGACAAGACCCAGAGGCCGGCCAGTGAGAGAACACATGTTACATTTCAAAGACAAACAAGTTTCACGAATGTAAACAAAGAGCGACCAAAGAAAGCCAGACCAGCCGGGAGGCTCCAGTCCACCTTTCTGCAGCTCAGCTCCTGCTCGGCATGGCAACGAGCTGGCCCAGGCTCCAAGGAGATGTGCCTCCCCGCCGACACTCTCCGATGAGGGCCCAACTGCGAAGCACCCCCTCGCATCCCAACCGCCTCCGGGCTGCTGCCGGGGATCGAGAGTCTCGCCGGCCGGCAGCTGCAGCTGCAAATACGTCCTCGGGCTCCGGCGGCGGCTCCGGTGGCAGGAGGGAGAGCGCTACTGTCACAGAGAGACTCGCAGCACCCCCGAACGCCTCTCCTCCTCCTCCTCAGTCACCTCCCCACAAGTCCCACCTAAGGGGAGGAGGAAGCCGGACGACTGCAAGCAGCTGTCCGGGGAACAGGGAGGCGATGTGGACACCCTGACCCCGGCGGACGTGGGCCAGGGTCCCGGGTTGCACGGAGGGGAGTGGGCAAGGACTTCCTAAAGGTTGAGAGGGGGTGAGATCGGGCGCGGGGGTGCTGGCGGAAGGACTGAGGAGCAGCCGCGGGAGGAAGCACTCAGGGTCTCGAATTCCCGGGAGAGGGGGGTCGGCCTCCCTGGGGGCGTCGGGGGTCCAGGTTTGGGAAGGCGGAGAGGGCCCGGGAGGAAGGCTCCGTTCTCCAAGAGGCGATGAAAGGCGAAGGAGAGAGCAGCGTTCAGACTCCAGAGAAGTCCGGCGGCGGGGCCCCCGCGGCCCCCGTACCTGCGGCCGCCTCCGCCGGCCTCCGCCCCACCGCGCCGCCTCCCGGGGACGGCGGCCGGGGGCAGGTCGCGGGGCGGCGGGCTGCCGGGGCGCTGCCGCCTCCTCCCGGCGGCGCCCAACTCCGTTCGGGCCCGGCCGAGCTCCGCGTTACCTGCGCTCTGCCGCCGGTGCCCGGTAACCACGGCCTCGCCGGTGACGGGGTGCAGCCAGGTGGTGCTCTTCGCCTCCTCGCTGCAGGGATGAGAAAAGGGGCAGACACCGGGCGTGAGATGGGGCTCCGGGGGAGCCGGAGGGGCTGGAGCAGCGCGCACCCGGCGCCCTCCTCGCCTCCCGCCGGCCTCCCGCACCGCCCGGGCCCCCCGCACCGCGCCCCTCTTTACTTGATGAAGAAGACTCGGCCGCCCCTGGTGATCCCGTAAGTCCAGGAGCGGGGTAGGGAGCAGATCCACTCCAGGTTCAGATCCGCCGCCATGTCTGATCCCCAGCCGCCGCCACCGCCTTCTCCTGCCTGCCGCCGCTGCTGCTGAGGGAGGAGGGAGCGAGCGAGCGACGAGCGGAGGGAGCGCGGGGAGCGCGGAGCGAGCGCGGCCGGAGCGCGCCTCCCCGGCCCGGCGCGCCCCCGCGCGCGCCCTACCCCCTCGGGCGGCGCCCGCCCCGCCAGCCCCGCCAGCCCGGCCGCCCCGGCTGGGTCGGGCCCGCGTCGCCGCCCCCCCCCG